AAAGCAGGTAATAAAAAAGCAACTAATCACATATAATCAAGTGCCCACGCCTAGTTGAAGGTCACTTAGTGCTGCAGGCAACAGAGACGCAAACGGTCAGGGCTGAACGTCCTACAGATCGCACCTTGTTTCCAACAAGATCATGAACCATCCCGAACCCCTGGCGCTCTGGCCCCTCAAGTTTGTGTGTCGGTTACACAATTACTCGCCAACCACAGAGTCAGACAAAAGCTATCACTCAGGACACTTGCAGCCTCAACCACTTAACCCAGAATGAGGTAAAACGACATGGATTCCCCAGCACGTCCAGCTGCGCCCTCACCCCGGCCCTGGGTCTCCAACAGGGAAACTGGGGGAAGGAGGAGGGGCCAGAAACGGTTCCTTCCACTCCACTAGCGCATTCCACGCCCCAGGTGTAGACTGGGCCGCAGCAGGATGACGGATGCTCTCCTGATCAGAGGCCTGAATTAAGACCACAGCCTTGGGGGGGCAGGGTATAGCTTAAGTGGCAGAGCACATGCTTTGCATGCATGAGTCCTGGGTTCTACCCCCAATACCTCCTCTAAAGATAAATAAACCTAATTATCTCCCCCCCTCCACTGCCAAAACAAAATAATTAAATAATACAATAATAAATAAATAAAATATTTAAAAAATTTTTAATGTTAATAAAAGAAGTTTAAAATAAAAGCATTTTTTAAAAAAAGACCACAGCCTGTATTAAATAAAAGCAAAATGACTCAGATATCGCAAACTTCTATGCCTAAGGTGATTTTGAGTTCCTTTCTTTTTTTATGATATTACACACTTGCCTCAACCTGACCCAATAGCAAGAGGAAACCTTCACACAGAGACCGTCTTCTTAGCATAAATGACCGCCTTCATTGCCATTCAACCTGTGCGCACAGGTGGGGAAACCAGTGGGTCCAGGAAACCCGAAGGCTGCAAGAGCAGGCTGAGAGGGGCTCCTGTGTGACCGCAGGCTAGTCGTCAGCACCACAAACACATCCGCTCAACACCACACTGCTCTCATCCTCGTGCGCCCCGTCCAGCACTGCCCCGAGATTTCCCTTTCAGTTGCCTGAGACCACAGCCTGGAGCCTCAGACCCCACTTCCCCACGAGGAGCCGCAGAGAGCCACCAGGAGGCCCGCCAAGGTCACCTCAGCTGGCTGGAGGTTCACACTTTCACAGTCCCAGGAAGAACCCCCTCTCTCTGAGCATCGCCTAAAAAAAAACCTCATGGACCATCTGTCTCCCTCCAGCTCTACTCACTGACCAAACAGCAAAGGAAGTCAGAGTGAAACAGGGCTTCCGAAACAAGTGCCAGACATTGCTCCACCTAGCACTCCAGCAACCTGTGGCGGGGCTGACCCAAGCTGGGAGCCTAACAGCAAACACCGCATTTTATTCCCATCAGACGCCTTTCTCATCACGTGTTTAATGGCTGAGGGCAGGTGGCAAGCGTCCCGCCCCGCGGACGTCACTCACCGATGCAGGCGTGGACCCTCACGGACAGCTGCGTCCTCAGGATGATGCTGTGCTTCTTGCCCCGCCTAACGGAGACAGGAGACAAAACATTCAGGGCATCAGGGGAGTGGGCAAGAGGGCGCCTGCCTGCTGTCAATCAATGTGAAGGTTCTGACACACACCCCCACCGCCCCGGGGAGGCTCCAGACAAGCAGGCACCTAAACAGAACAAGAACCTACCCTGAAATAACGTGACGTCACAGGGCCTTATGGAAAATGAAATAATAGAGTTGGACCCTTTGGACTGGCACACACATTTCACTGTCAAACCTAGTCGGCTCCACAGAGTGGTGCGTACTCGGGCCTGATCGTGTTGGGAAAACTTTAAAATCTGTGCCCGAGAAGTGAAATCCCTGGCATGTAACAGCACAGATCTGCCTGATCACTCCCACGGCTATTTTTCACATGTTTCTGGGTACAGGGGAAGGACACACGTAGTGGGTTAATCAGCAGGGCAGTCCCTCAATTCAAGACTGGCAGCTTTTCCCTTCTGCTCTTACAGGAAGACCGGAGTCCACCAAAGAGAGCAGGAATGTCAACTGACACAACCCCATCTCACTCTTGCTTCCTTTTCACTTCATTTCTTACGAGGAAGGAAAAAGGACAGCCCCTCCCCAGTTCTCCTCCCACGAGGGCTCGGCAGCTTTTGCACAGAAGGACCAAAGCCCAGAGCAGGTGAGGACGATGAAGGAGTCCAGGCTACTTGAGGGTAACAAAGGCTTTGAGGTTTGGAGGAAGGGGGAACCAACGGACAAAGGCTAAAGGGAGCCAGCCCATCAGCTCTGGAGCAGGTGACAGCGTGGTTTCTCAGTGGCTGAAGCCCTCTCCCCATCAGGGCTTCACGTCTAAGAGTCTCCCTACACTCTCCTGCTCCCTGGTTTTGCGGTTGTGCTGGAGGAGACGGGGACACGAGTATCGTGACTATGAAGTCACAGGAATTATATTACTGCAACAACTCTGTGTTTTATTCTGGAGACCAGATAAGAGGGGAAAGTGTGGTTGCAAAAGTGATTTTGGGGTGATTTTACAAGAGAAAGGGAAACCACTTGCAGAGTGCTACAAAGGCACGCAGTTGCCCACAACCCGGCAGCCCCTCGTGGGGAGAGGATCTGCCGTCACAGCCCCTTCCAGTGCCCGTGAGCCCCTCCTTTTCACTTTTGCGATGTGCAAAACACTCGTCTGGAGCTCACACAAATACAGAACACTTGACCCATCTCCAGAGGACAAGTTTGAGATTCCTGTAAACAGTCTTCTTCAAAACTTTCTTTCTCACACACAATACATCTTCTCTCTTGACAGCTCCAGTGTTGACACTCCCTCAATTCTTGTGATCAGATGAGGAAGAAGTTTCCATTCAGTGCACGGAACTGAGTTAGTGAGCAGCCTTTTGTGTGAACCCGCCGGGAAAGGCTTTCTGGGGATGGGGGCAGCCGCCACCAGGTGTGCAACTCACCCAGAGCTGAGCCCAGGGCTGAGCTGGGGGCAGAAACCAGTGAACCCCTGATGATGATGGCCAGACCTGCACTATTATAACCAGCAAAACCCGAAGCCCTTGAATCTGGAGGATTTTCTGTAACTCCTGTTACTAGCAGTTATGAGTCAATAATAAATAGCAAATGAACAGATAAAATGCATGCTCTAGATGCCCAGAGGTGGGGAGCACAGGATGGCAGCAGAAAATATTTCAGAATACCTGAAGTTCTGAAGAAGTTCAGAAAGGGCCCACTGAGAGCCCCCACTTTATCTTCCAACAACTGCCAGTTGCATTTGGAGGAAGTACTTCAGTTTTCCCACAGAATTCTCCAGTCCTGTGGTCACGTGGGATTTCAGACACCTGCATGAGAACTAGGGCAATCCTCTGAGAAGCCACGCAGCCCCACCCCTCTGGAGGGGCCATCTTTTCTCTGCTTATGCACTGAGAAACCAGGCTGTCGGACTGGTTAAGTTAAACCCTAATGGAATTTAAGAGCTCCAAGAGCAAAACAGGTCTATTTTTTAGTAGCTTTTCCCTTTTAATTCCTCTGCCTCAATATTTCCACCTCCTTCCCTGCCTGCCCTTGCACGCAAAATCCGACGATGGAAGAAACCTGAGTGAAACTGGGAGCCAAAGGCTGCGGAAGCCCCCTAACACGGGATGAGGCTCCAGGCTCCAGGAGCTCCTGGCAAAGGAGGGGGCCCACCAAGGTGGAGGCGAGGGGGTGGTGAGTGCAGCCAGGTCCACAGAAGCTGTCCTCCCTCTCCCGCCCGACTCTCGCTTTCTCCCACCTGTGGTGTGAGTACCATTGCTCTGCCCATTCTGCAGATGAGGAAAGCAAAGCTTGTAGTAATGATGTAACCTGCATGAAGTCACGTGGCTGGTGGAAACAGACCTGGGCTAAAAGCAGAGTGTCTGTCTCCACCATCGCTCACACACCATCTTGCCTTTTGCTGTACAAGTGCCTCACTCTATAACCTTCTCCAGAACTTACTGAGGATAAAAAGTATCCTAAGGGCAAATATGCGGAGCAAAGGATATTTTTCTGTGGCTGAATTTTCTGTTTCTGTAGCATTGCCAATATTGTGATTTATGCAAAGGAACAGAAAAATCAATATAATGATTTAATGTAATACTACCTTAAAGATAGTAATAAAATAATAAATTAAAGACAGTAATAGTCCTATGGTATTAATGAAAAAACTGAGGTCAAAAGAAATAATTTGCTCAAATTTATATTGTAAGTACTGAAAACAGTACTGGGATCTTGGGATAGCATATACCAAAATATATGTTTCTTTTTTCTACTGCATGCCATCATGTGTTACATACCTTAGAAGGAAATAACATGGAACACTGATATAAATGTGTATGTCCCTGTGAAAGTTTACTGTGTATCATCAATGAAGAATAAACAAAGTGATAAAAAAAAAAGTGTCCTGGGTTTTTTTAAGGAACTGGTTTAACCTCAATACTAAAATCTAACAAAAAGGACACACAAACAATTAAGATGCAAAGATCTAAGAAAACATTGGCAAAGCAAAGTATGCAATTTGTGAAAATAACAAAACAGGACCAAATACGGTTTATCTTAGGAATTCAAGAAGAATTACAAGAAGCCTATGTTTTATTTCTCTGTATCAAATATCAGTGTACAGGGGACACACATCAGGAGGCTCTCCAAATTAGACAGCTTCCCTCCTTCCATTACTATATTTCCTCATTGATTAATGCTGACACATTAGAGAAAGATTAAGAGTCATGTATCTCTTTATATATGGCCATCTTGCTGCTAATACTGATTCGAAAAATCTTCTGACTGATTCTTTTGGCTTCTTCTACAGAAATAATCATATCAACCATTTTAAAATAATCATTTTATCCTCACTTTTCTAGTAAATATGCCTGTCTTCTGTTTCCTGGCTAAAGCTTTCAGAGGAAAATTAAATAATCATGGGTCTACTTTTCTCAGCCCCCAGTGGGATACTGTGTCAGTTTGGGTTCAGAAAACAATAATCATAATCGCTCTTAACATTTACAGAATTCTTATCTTGTGCCAGATGAGGTTCTAAGTACTTTATACCGATTCAGCCTTCATAAAACTCCTATGAAGTGGGTAACATTATTGCTGTTTTTAAAGAGAGGAGATTGAGGCCCAAAAGAGTTTGCAACGTTGCTGAAGTCACATAGAAAGTGACAGAGCTCGGCCCCAACCCGGGCAGCCTGACCCTGGAGCCTCCCAAATGCTGCCTCCCAGATGGGTGTTCTCATGCACGCTCTCATTCCACACGTGTCCACTGGCGTCTACCCTGAGCTGGACTCTACGTTAGGTGCCCAAGGGACAGTCAGCCTCGAGACAGCAACACAGAAATCCTGCCTGCCAGGCGGTCGTGCAGATCTCGGACTCACGACTGCAATGTCAATTCTCATCTGAATCTCCAGCCTGCTGGCCCATTCTACAGATCTCAGGTTTGCCAGGCCCCATAATGGCGTGAGCTAATTACCTGAAGTAACCCTCTCTGGGCAGACCAGATGGAATGGACAGATTAAGCTAGATTAGACTAGATGGATGGACAGCGAGACAGATATCTTACTGGCGCTATTTCTCTGGAGAACTCTAACACCAAGTTGGGGTCTGCTTTAGTGGAGCTCCCGTATTTCCAAAGTAAAATCAGTAGCAGGCTGTCAATGTGTGTGCCCTCGAGGCATGTTAGTGGTCCTTCTCTCCCTGATATCAGTAGGCTGGATCAGCGTCACAGCTGCCCCTCCTTCCAAACCTGCCTGTTTGCAGCGGAGTGAAATGGGAACGCACCGAGTACTAGAATCTGGTGACCCAGAGGCAAAGGCAGTTTGGTTTGACCCAAAACTCCCCAGGCAGACTCAGACTCCATTCCTATCAGTGCAGCCACTGCCAGGTAATGGGGTGCCCACCCCCCAGGCCGATGCTACCCAAGCAGTGAGGGCACCAAAACGTACGCTCAGTTCCAGGAGACTCCTGCCGAGGCACACGTGCCAGGGATGTGACGGCACTAGCGCTGAAGGAACTGGCCAAAACGTCCGTTTCGCAGAACTACCATAATGTCTATGGCCTTGGGAAAAAGATCTGGTTTAACCAAATAAGTCTCATAGAAACCCATGTCCCCGTCTCTCAAGAAAATATTTCTATAAGAATACCATGTAACATGTACATGTAATGTAACTTGCATTATCTTATTGAGTGGCCTGGAGCCAAAGGCTTGAGTTTTTCTCACAATCAATAGCAGAAATCAATGCCCCCAGATATTCCTCCACTCGAATTCAGACTCAGCTGTCATTTCGGTCAGGAGCAGAAAACACGTGTTTGATGATACAGCAGGAGCAGAGACTGCCCCAGGAATGTGCCAGCCAGCGCTCTGCTGAAGAAGGATCTGAATCAGTCATCAGCTAGTAAAAGGGTGGTACTCACGAAGACTGATTTGCTCAGAAGCTCAAAGGCTAAGAGAGCTAGGAGCCACTACGCTCATCTCCAGATGTGTTCTGGAGCATAAACTCCGCAGCCAGCTGTGCGATCCTGGACAAGTTCCTTAGCTTCTATGAGCCTCAGCTTCCTTGTCTCCGACACAGGCTAATATTATGCTTTTGGTGTCAGATCTAAGAAACGAAGCCTTACTCCTATTTTCTTCTAAGAGTTTTATAGTTTTAGCTTCTCCCCATCAGGTCTCTCCTAATGGGAAAGAAGCCTCTGTTCAACCACAATTTCCAGTTCCTGTGCAGTCCTACTGCCCCGCTGTCTCAGCCCCACCTTCTCTCCCTGCCCCATCTTCAGCTGCACCCCCCCCCAACTACTCTCTGCTTCCTTTCTCCCCAGGACACCGCAAAGCTCCTCTGTACCACTCCCTTGGCCTTGCCTTTGGCCTCTCACAACCTGAATTTTCTGTAGCACAGTCTTCTTAACTGCCCTTTCTTTGAAATTTTCTGCTGGCCGAGGCAGACACTGCAGGTTACCCACCCAATACCCATTTTCCTCTTTTGTTTTATAAAAAGAACCTGATTTTGCTTGCGGTGACAATGTACCCACCTAAAAACTATATTCTCCAGTCTCCCTGGCCACCAAGAGTGGCCGCGTGTCACAGTTCTCTTCGGTGAACTGTAGATGGAAGTTGCCGGTGGAGGGTCTGTAAAAACCCTTTAAAAGGGACAGACCCAGCTGGCATCAATGTTCGCTCCTCATCGTCCCCATCTAAGGCAGGGACTACAGAGGTGGAGGGTTAGCTGGACACAAGCCCACTGCCATGGTAGGATCATGGACCTAAGTTCTGGCCGATGGCATGTGAGTGAAAGCCATGTGCACAAGGAATGGACACGCACTCCCTCTGTCCACTTCCGTCTTCCTGGCAGCTGGGATGCAGATGAAAAGGTAAAAGCTAAAGCAACCACTCCGGACACAGAGATGGAATTTTCATTTTAAGGGTGGTATAGCTGCTCCACCAGTCCCAAGGAAGACGGCCTACATTTGGACTCTTATACAAGAAAGAAATTTTTACCTTTACATCTAAACTGCCATAATTTGGAATCTCTTGGTTGCGTCAGAGAAAGCTGTACCCTGCCGAGCACATGACCTCCTGCGCTGATAAGACACTGGAGGGAGAGCAGCCGTATTGTAACTACGATGAAGTGTGAAAGATGAAAGCTACAGCCTCAGGATGGCAGAGTAGAAGAAGAAAAGAAGCCGGGTTCCTAAGAGCATCTTGTAATCAACATATGGTCCCCCAGGTAGCCTAATTAACCATATCTTTTTTTTTTATTAATAGACTTCATTTCTTTAGAAAAGTTTTAGGTTTTCAACTTCCTTCCTCCAAGAGATCACCCCCAGTCTCCCTGGTCCTTGCTGTTTCTCCCCTGGGTCCCAGGCCAGTGTTTCTCACCTGGCCACCTCACACCTTGAGCCTGGCTGGACACAACCTCAGACGAACATGTGTCAACCTCTTCCCTCCCTCCCCAAACTGCCCCAACTCCACAGCCTGCTGCTGAGTGGTCCACCAACTGTACACTCCCCACCTAATGTCCATTTTTTCCCTCCTGTTCCCCTCTACTCAACTAGTATCGAATCTCCAGACTCACAGATCCCTCCCCTTCCTCCAGTGGGCCAAGCCCCAGTCCACCCACCTTCCTCAGCTACCAGGTTCAGACCCATTAGAGTTCTGGAGGGAGAGCATGCCAGGTGACAGAGTCACCCTGCAGTGGGCGCTGTTTCAACTAGAGCCAGCGTGTGAGCCTGGAACTGGTGACGTCCTTGCACGAACCAACCATGTCACCATGGGTGCAAACAGACATCCTCAGGAGAAACTGAAATGCCGTTACCCGGAAGCTCCTGGGGTGGCAGAGGAGTGCAGACCTGGAAATCAGTCACATCTGTGGTCCAGCTTGGCTCCACCATCTACCGGCTCTGCCTCCCTGGACATGTAACCTAACCCCTGGCCCTCCGTTGTTTCAAATGGAAAATGGAGACAATAATATGTAATCCCATGTTTGTGATGATTAAGAGAATGAACTATTAAACAGACACACTGTGAATGAGGTGCCTGACACGGTGGCCGGGACAGCAGTTGCTCCATGGATGTTATTTTCTTCCCTACTCTTAACTCAATACTGTGATCTAACATAGTAACTTTTTTTTTCTAAGGTGCCATCTCCAAATCAGTCAAGTTTTGAGAAGAAAGAAAAAAATATCAAACAGGTCATGGTCTTCAAGCACAATGTCACTAGAGACGTTTTACAAATTGGCTATGATCTACACTTAACACTCCTGGTATCTGTTTGATCAATGAGCCGTGAAGTCATTCCATTGGAGTGTCACCTGGCCTGAATGCTGACATCTTAAATAAACGAATGTCATTGTCAAATACTTGGTAAAAACTACAGCAATGGGATTTCCCCAAATCTATCAGCCTAATAATGTCAATTTTTTTAAATGATGATGAGAAGAGTCTGATGTGACTTAATATGGAAACCCCCCTACGTGTGTCCAGCCTGTGGCAGGTTCCAGGGTCCTTCCCCACATGCTATTGGTGTGGCCCTTGGACCCACTCAGAAGACAGGAAGGGCATCCTCAGGGAGCCTTACTGGTTCCTACCAAGGACCCTGGTCCTGGCGCTCAAGGTCATGCCCCTCAGGAGTCCATGCTGGGATCCTGCCATTCACCTGGCCAGCAGGGCTGAGTACCTATAATGTGGATCGAAAATGTTGGGCTGGATATTCAGACAGGCCCAGTTCTGACCTAGCAAGATCCTAGCAGCAGAGAAAAGGGATAATTAAAGAGGGAAGGACCATAACTTGTGATGGGCGTTAAAGCCAGGGAAACCCAAGAAGTCATCATACACACTGGTGTCCAGTGGGATGCTCACACCAAGAAGTTGCCCATTTTTCCTCATTTTTTGAGCCATTCATGAAAAATCAGCACTCTCAGATAATATTCATCTGACTGTAACATATTTCTAGCTCAGGCAAGGCAGCTTCAAAACAACTTTTGGGTAGGTCCCCAAACACCAGATCCAAATGGCTGGATGTTATTAGGAAAGCCACAGGGAGCCTCTGAAGGCTCCTCCATAGTAAGGTGATGAAACCAGAGATAAACCTGGCTCTGGATGAATGACAAATAGAAAGGGAGGAAGGGCCCCATCAAAAGAGCATTTCAATAATCTCATCAATATATAATAATACTTTGCAAATATTAATTTCTTGGTTTGGACAAATTTGCCATGGTTAACGTAATATGTTAACATTATGGGAAACTGGGTAAAGGATATTTGGGAAATATCAGTGCTTTATTTTCAACCCTTCTGGAAGTTAAAAAATCATCTCAACATGAACAGTTAAAAAAAAACCTGGAAAAGAATAAAACTATCACTTGAAAAACATAATCAAATAAATATCAGAATGGCTGACCATATGGGCATATTCCACAGTGGTTTTACTTTCTGTGCACATCTCTCACTTTTTCGTGTGAATTGCTTTATTCAGACTCACAGCAATCAGAAATATTAAACAATTCTAGATGTAGGCTAAACATAACTTGATGTTAGTTGACATAATTAATAATTATTTTCTCCACTGTAATGAGTTCAAAAGATTGTGATATAGTGTAAGATGATCTAAAAGGGCATTTGCCCAAAAAACACTAAATATCCAGGAAGTTGTCATTAAAAACAACATATAAAACAGTTGTCAATCCACAGTAATCTTAATATTAATTTAAGCATATTTGATTTTTTTAAAAACTTAGACTGTAAACACCATGTGCGTAATTAAACTATACAAGAAATTTTCCTATCCCCAAGTAGCCTCATCAGGAAGAGTTACTCAAATTCAAAAGCATTTGCAGTTACTACCGGTGAGTCACTTGCAGCCCCCTTTTTTTGTGTGTGATTGTGAGTGAAGAGATGGTCAAAGCTATGGTGGTTCCTTCAAAAGATTTTAAGGCCTCAGTGCACCCCTGTTTCTTTGAAGGACTGGCTGGCAGGGACAACTGCCGCTCTTACCCAGCGTCATCCTGGAAGCCTTCTAACTCGTCCCGCTGCTCGGCCAGGGTGGCCTCCAAGTCCAGGTAGGTGCCGTTGTGGGAGAGCTGCAGCGTGCAGTCGTCCAGCTGCAAGAGAAAGAGCCCATTAAGCCCAGCCTGCTCCCGGATTTGCACGGAGAGATCACTTCATGTTGCCCTCATGTGTTGTTTAAAATGCAGCATTATTCCGAAAATTAGATCAGAACTGGAAGAGGAAGCATGTTAATACAAATAGATTGGACACAAATTGCGTAATTGATGACAGAAATGGCACCTACTGAGGAAATGGCACTGACAGGGCCCAAAAGACATGGGCGGGGCGGAGAAGGACTGGGCACTGGCTGATGCCACTTTCCACTCGGGGGCGTCCAGGAGAAGCCAAGGATTTGGGGAGTGGAAACCAAGATCACAAGGCCAATGTGTCCATGGATTCAGAGACCAAGAGTTCAAAAGACAAATTTGGTGGGGAAAACACGCTGTTTCCTTTGACCCAGTAAGAAGCCTACTAATTCAGGTCCTGCCTGGCACATTGCAATTAACAGCTGCTCGATAAAAAGGGTCCCTCCTACATCATTGGTGGGGATGTAATTTGGTGCAGCCACTATGGAGGACAGTACGGAGGTTCCTTAAAAACTAAAAGTAGAGTTATCCTATGATCCAGCAACCCCACTCCTGTGCATGTACCTGGAGGAAACTCTAATTCAAAAAGATACATGCACCCCAATGTTACACAGACATAGAAAACAAATGACTGCTGAAAGGGAAAGGGCGGGGGGAGGGAATAAATTAGGAGTTTAAGATTAGCAGGTACAAACAACTATATATAAAATAGATAAACAACCAGGTCCTACTGTATAGCACAGGGAACTATATTCAATACCTTGTAATATCCTATAATGAAAAAGAATATACATTTACACATGTATAACTGAATCACTATGCTGTACACCAGAAACTAACACAACATGGTAAATCAACTATACTTCAATTTAAAAAATTTTTGCTCATGAAATATTTTTACAATTGAAATGAAAAAAAAAACATTCTCCATCTGAATGGCAACATATCCAAACTACAACATACCAAAGAGGACATTAGGTCTCTTTGTTACTAATTTCATTTTTAGAAAATTTACTTAACAAATACTTATATGGTGTTAATTATGTTCCGTTCATAATTCTAACCATGTTACATCGTTTGATTCTCACACGAACCCTATTCATTTCTGTTGCTATCCCCCTTTTACAGAGGAGGAAACTGAGGCACAGAGAGAGACTAAGGTACTTGCCCAATGTCACAGCTGGTAAATGGTGGAGCTGGAATCTGGATACAGGTCATGTAAATCAAGGTCACATTCTCAATCACGACGCTCTGCATCCTTTCTAAAGTCAGAGACCATCAAAGACGTTTACAAAATGCAGCTTCTGTCATCTGAGTGTTCTGGTGTGGTCAAGGTAATGCCACGTGTTTACCAACCCCATTCCCTTTTCCTCCTGGGAACAGAGACCACACAACCCAGGCCTATAGTTGGGCTACTGCCGTGTAACTGAGTACTGACCGCTGGAATATCAGTGAAAGGGAAGAAGGCTCCCGACAGACCTGGCCACACACCCTCACACAACTGTCCACCTTTCTTCTC